TGGGCATACCGGGCACCGTGCGCTTTTTGTTTGGAGGGACTTAGCTGAGAAGTAAAATCACTAAGCAGAATTGGTTCTGCTTAGCTCAAACCAGGACACACTTAAATATGCTAGATGAGATATACTAAAATATGAATGAGCAAGAAAACATTTCATAATAATAAGACCAGAAATGGTACACAAGCATTTAAACATAATGAATGTGTATATTAAAATTTATCTAAGCAGAACAGCTTTACTCTCAGTGAGCCAATATACTTAGGAGAAAAAATGAATATGAACATTGTTAAATTAACTAAGTCCACATTACTACATTAACTCAAATAATTTCGGCAATTGCCAAGAACATAATGAAAAAGTCACAACCAAATATTGAATTTACAGCAATATGTTTATCGAATGTGGATTTTTAAGTTCTGATATTAAATCTTTATGTTAAATTGTTTCTTTGGAACAATCAATCCTGGCAAGAGCAGGTAAAACGAAGTTACGTGTTTTCTTCTGTATAGAAAAGAAATTAAGTTTCTAAAATCAAACCCCGAAACAACAAACTTCGTTCCAGTTTAATAAACTTAAAACCTCAGGTACTACTTTGCCAATTAGAAGTCTGTGATTTTTATTGCCAGTCATTTTGTATTAAATTCTACCTGGATTCTGTTTCTCTTTGGATAGAATAGATTTTATTATTTTTTAATGTTTACTTGTAGTTAGTCAAGATATTATGACTTTTAGATAATGTAATTTCAAACCACTTAAATAACAGAAAAATCTCAACCAGGTTAAGAACCAACGAAGACCCAGAATACACCTGGGTGGACTGCTTGCTTGTAAATACTGAGGAAAAAAATAGGGCATTTTTAAAACAAAGCTTCTACTTGTTTCAATGCTAAGTAGTTTCTGTAGATGTGTTCTCAAACAGACCTTTCTGACTACAAAAAAACTCACCCATCAGCGTTCTTCTCTCTCAACAAAGCAGCAGTTTCTAGTAGCTTTTTCGTTCTTTCCCATTGCTTTCTTTGCTTTTCCCGAACCTTTGAACAACAAAATCAATGGTTTGCAAATTAACTGGTAATCACCTCTTGGATCACTATTGTATGGACTGAATTTTTATTTCTGCAGCTTAGATGGCTTATTGTAAGACAAAAGACAACTTCCAGACTTCCATTTTGACACCTGAAAGAGCTGTATTTCAGCATGTCAGAATTTTAAGTATACAGACACTGTAGAACTTGAATAACCACAATAAATATTCTTACGTTTTCTTTATTTTCTTTTTCTTTGTTCTCTTTAAATTCTACATCTTCAGCATTAATGTCTATTGCTTCTTGCTTTTCTGTTTGGTTCATCTCCATTGATGCTTCAGTAGTAGATTCCTCTTCTGTTTCCTGTCGGGAAGTCTGCTTCTCATCAGCCAATCCATTGCTTTCTTCTTCCCCTAGCACGCTATCGTCAGGTTCTGAAGGCAGCGTCGCTGTAGAAAATGTCCCAGAGAGGAGACTGTCCACTTTGCCAAGTGGAAATTCATGCAGGTTATCGAAAAAAAGTTTTGGAAATCCAAAACAACTGGTAGCAGCTCTAACAGGTCCCCCTCCTGGGTACATCTGAATAATGGATCCATAGCCTAAGAGAAGACAAGAATCAAAAACACATTGGAAAGCCAGGATTTCTGGGACCAGTGAAGCATTCATGTATGGACAGATAAGTAAATTGCCTGCTCTTAAGCTAACCTTCATTAAATTTAACAGGCTACGGAGGTATGCCTCCAGAGAGAAAGACTTTATTGGAAGGACACGTCACTGCAACTCAAAAGGACAAGGTAACTCAAAGATTATGCATGTATTAAACATGTATTTAGGATTAGCACAGAACATATGAGCAGTGATAAACTGTTAGAAAAGCTAATTTAATTGAGAATTAAAAACCTAAATTTCTACAGTACTTATTACTTGTAAGCATGGAGTGGTTTTGATAAAAAAGCTACTTTAAAGAACATTAATAAGTAAAGAATTTCTCCAACACCCAAAATCTAAAGGAAGAGATATCAGATGTTTAAACATGCAAAAAAAGAACTTTCCAATAGTTATACTGAAATCAATTCTTATTTGATTTAGTTCAGAAAGTATCTCTGTGGCCAAAAGTTACTGAAACAAAACCAATTTATAGTACAACTGCCTGTGTGCTTCTCGGCCAACAGACAGCACTTCTGGCTGTACCTGACAACCCACCTCCTGCCTTTCTAGGCTTCTGGAATATAATTGACATCTCTGTTTAGTGTCTCTGGATGACTTTAAGTGAAACTAATAGTTAGCTGAGTAAGAACATGTCATATATCCATTCTGCAGACTTTAAATCTCTCTGGCGCAGCGAACCAGAAGAATGACAACACTTTTAGTGCTGCAGGCTGTCTGAATTCCATTGCTACCATTCCTGTCCTCTGCCCTTCACTTTCCTGACTCCCCAGGTGCCTGGGAAGAATCTGCATACAGGCTCCTTACAGCCTTTTCTGAACAAAACGTCATTATGCTAAGACAGAAAGTAAAACAGATCTACATAGAGTGATGTTATTTTGAACTATTTTAAGTACTGCCTTTTAAAAGTATCTCTGAGATGCCCATTTCTTATGTTTCTGTCAAGTCCTCAGTCTGTACATGACATTACTCAAGCTTCTGCGTTACGCACCTCCCATTCGCTCCATCACTGCGCCCAGCACAAGGCCTGCGCACGTTTCCATTACGATCATCTTGTTGCCAGCACGGATGTTTCCTAAAGTCAGCATCTGAGCTAGGGTGTCATATCGCAAGTGGCTACAAGACAGAGGATTTTATCTTAGAGTTAGAAACACTACATATTAGCTCGGAAGCCTGTCAAAAAAAAGTTGGATGAAAGGTAGATTTTCAGGAACAGCATCACTGGTCTTCAGAGCCACCAAGTGGAAACTTATAATTATCCATCTGGTAACAGAGAAGCACTAGAACCGGAGCCGA